ATATATATATATATAATATTTTCTTAATCAATTTACTATTGATTATAATTGTAAATGTTATAAAAAATTTATATAGTATTATTGTTAATAATACGTAAATTGTTCGTTGCAACGTTTATTTTAGATAATAAACAGACGAATTTTCATTAAGTCGTTAAAATTAAAATTGTTGGGACAAGTGAATAATTAATAATAAAATTGTACATATCATCTTTATGACAGAAAAGAAGTTGAACTGAAATCATAGAACTATATATCTATAATATGTACGATTGTATATATGTCATAGTTAAAGTGTTAACTTTAGTAAATGTATACATCTGCAAGTGTAGTACTAGTCAATGTATACTATACGTAAATGTATACATTGACTACAGCAAACTACAGTAAGTATATACATTCACTGAATTAACATTAACACTTTGTGACTGTGATATATATAGAAAATAGAATATCAAAATAAAATAAAAATTTACTAATTAAATTAAAAGCTGTTAAATCATTTATGAATGTGTAAACTCACGTGTCATTTTTTAATAATGTTTTAACTCTTGTCATTTAATATTTATGTAAAATATAAATATTAAAATAAATATTAAAATATATTATATTTTGTTAATAAACAAATACTTTATCTATATATTCTGTAACTTAAATTCAAAATTTAATTAAATCTGAATAAAAAAATCTTATACATAATTATATTAATTAACACTTTACTTTTTCTCAATATATATATTATTCTTCTAAAATGTCAAATATTTTGTTTAGCTGTTACATCATTTAAAAATAAAATGAGATTTAAATATTTAATTAACTTACATTATACTCTTTTATACTTCAAATGAATAAAGTAATTTAAAAAACAAAAAAAAAGCTAAAGAATGTGATGGTTAGAAACATTTGATTCGTAATATCTTTCTAAATTCCCTAATTATTAAATTGGTGATATATAAATATCTAGGTGTTATCTAAAGTCTTTGGCCAACAACACTTTTCTCTCTTCACGTTGGAAATGGTTGAAAAGCATTGAGCCGTATTGGACAATTTTAGCGCCTCAGATTGACAACACTGGTTACCATCACCCTGCTTTAACACGTTCTCTACTCTCTAGTACTTCTAGCCACACACAAAAAAACATGGCGCTTGTTTCTTCAAGAATGATGTTTAATCCCGGTAAGTGTAAAATACGTAATACAAGACATGTTCACGATAGACAGAATTTTAAGGCGAATTTTTGCCGATCGTTTTAACACTTTTCTACCGAAACATGTTTAAACCTGTTATTATATACGATTATATATATACGTTGCAGAAGAGATGAGGTTAAGTGCAGATAGTAATAAAATGTTTGTTTTTTCATCACGCAAATCTTTCTGTTTCAGTGTTAAAACAGACTCTTAAGCAAGTTATCTTCGCCAAGCAACTGCTAAAATGTGTAAGTGGATGGTTGTCATGAACAATTCCTTAACTCTGGATTTATGGTCAACAATGGCGATTCTCAATAATCGTATAATGCTGATACTATTTCTTCTTCTCTTTTTATAATGTTGATTCTACAATAAAACGGTAGTCGGAAATCTTAAGTCTTAATCTAAATAGGTGATAATTTCTAGCATCTACAAGTTAATTGTAGAACAAATTGTTTAGCTCGACTAATAGAAAGGAAAAAAGTTTAATTTGGCCAGTCTTAAGAAAATTGATAGTCTTAGAGTACTATTTTATTTATGCGTTTTTGTCATATGACAAATGTATACAGGATAGTGAGGCTCTGGATCTCTCTATCCCATAGTTAATTGACAGCCTCAAAAAATTTATGGTATAACAATCACACAATTACATATTCTACAATAAGTTATTAGTGATAAATCAGAAGTCAGAAGCTAGAAATTGACAAATCAAAGTCATTCAATTATTCTTCTCACATTTGACTATAATTGGTTAATTTCTAGCATCTGATTTCTGATTTATTACTAATAGTTTATTGTAGAATCATAAGATTTAGGATTACCAACTCATTGTAGAATCAGCTTAAGAACTTTTTATATATTAGTTCTTAAATTGCTATTTATGAAAATTTGATTGTAAATGAGCACTACTTTGATCAATATTTTCATAAAAATTACAATGTTTTTATATTACATGTTAAAATATGTATGGAGTGGCATACGGACCCTTAAAGTGTTACAAGTTGTGTAACTACATATCATTTTTGAAAAGCAATTGTGTTTACGTCAATTAATTTATTTTATTGTTTTATGCATAAAGGTATTAAGGTATGTTTATCAAAAAATTAGTATGTACAAGATATTTAATATTTTATGTGCTAGAATAAAGTACTACATCTTGTAATTAATTTTTTAATATTTGTACTTTAATGCTTTTGTCCAGAATAATATAGTGATCTTTCGACTTCGAAAAATTGATTTTTTTTTGTTTTATCATTATTACTCCCCCTTAAAATCATTCAATTTTTGTTTGAACACATTTTTAATTCAATGCATACTTTCAGGGATAATACTTGTAACATTTTAAATGCATCACTCTGTACATAGTTTGATTTTACTAATTTTTTTATTTTTATATTTCATTAATTTATTGTCTTTAACATAAATACGTTCATATATTGGCCATCTTTTGGTATATACTGCCAGTATGAAAATGTATAGTAATGTGAACTATAGATTTTAGTATTGGCAGTATACATACCTATATATCGAAATGCAGTCATTGTTTCGGTGTTACAAAAATGATATAATTTCTTGCTAAATAGATTATATTTAATTTTATATCATATACTTTTTAGCAATGTCGTCAATTGAACAATCGGCTATTCCTTCCAACTGTTACCAGTCAAAGATTCTATGCTGTACGTACAGAAAAGAAGGTATTCAGCCGCGATAAACCACATTGCAATATAGGCACTATAGGTCATGTAGATCATGGCAAAACCACTCTGACAGCAGCTATTACCAAAGGTATTTATTTATTTATTTATAAGATGATTATCTGCAAATGAAGGCATAACTAACAGAAACTTGTAAATAGTCTTGTCTGAGAAGCAATTAGCAAAAGCTAAGGGATATAGTGAAATCGATAATGCTCCTGAAGAAAAGGCTCGTGGCATTACCATTAATGTCGCACATATTGAATATCAAACAGAAAATCGTCATTATGGACATACAGATTGCCCAGGTCATGCTGATTACATAAAAAATATGATAACAGGAACTGCTCAAATGGATGGCGCTATACTGGTCGTCGCTGCCACGGATGGTACAATGCCACAAACTAGAGAGCATTTGCTTCTTGCTAAACAAATTGGTATCGAGCATATCGTTGTGTTTATTAACAAGGTGTTTATTCTTATTAATATAATATAGGCGAAAGCAGCAAAGGTCAAATAATAAACGTATTAAAACTTTATTCAATATTTTCAAGGTCGATGTTGCTGATTCAGAAATGGTAGAATTAGTAGAAATGGAAGTACGAGAGTTGTTTTCTGAAATGGGTTACGACGGCGATAATATTCCAATAATAAAAGGTAGTGCGCTTTGCGCACTTGAAGGAAAAAGTCCTGAAATAGGTTCACAGACTGTTCTGCAGTTGTTAGAAACAGTAGATAAACAAATCCCGACTCCAATAAGAGAATTGGATAAACCCTTCTTACTTCCGGTAGAAAATGTATATTCTATTCCTGGTAGAGGTACCGTGGTTACTGGTAGACTAGAGCGTGGTAAAGTGAAGAAAGGGACGGATTGCGAGTTTATTGGTTATAATAAAGTTTTTAAAAGCGTAATCACAGGTATAGAAATGTTCCATCAGATATTAGAGGAAGCCCATGCCGGAGATCAACTTGGCGCTCTAGTAAAAGGTTTAAAGAGAGACGAAGTAAAAAGAGGCATGATAATGTGTAAACCTGGTTCTATGAAGGCGTACGATCACATAGAAGCGCAAGTGTACCTGTTGAGTAAACAAGAAGGTGGTAGGAAAAAACCGATTGCGAATATGATACAATTACAGATGTTTTGTAGAACGTGGGACGTTGCAGTGCAATGTTCGATAGTAGGAAAGGATTTAGCCATGCCAGGAGAAGATAGCACGTAAGATATTTGTTTTTCAAGAATTTTCTACGTTCATTTTTCTATACTCACTGTTTTTACTGCAGACTCGTACTAAAGTTGCTAAGACCAATGGTATTGGAGAAGGGACAACGTTTTACACTACGAGATGGGATGGTAACTCTAGGAACTGGTGTAATCACTAACACTCTGAAATCACTTACGGACTTCGAGCGACAGAATATTCTCGAGGGCAAAAAGGCGATATTGAAGAAGGACAAAAAAGCGCAACGAAATTAAACTCAATAAATATCTGTTACAAAATAAAGCAGAATTGTGCTGTGTAATAAAGAAAATATAAATCAGCTTAGTGAAAGTTTGATAAGATGCGCAAGATATGACCATCATAGATAATATAATAATAGACGTATACATAATTTACGTATTTAAAGAACGCATTTCGCTACATTGTAAATTGTATAATTTTAGTCATTAACAAGTATCAATTCAATTATATATATTGAGATATATATATATGTGTGTGTGCGCGCGCGCAGGATGGCCCTCGTAAGTGTTACAAGCTATTATCTCTAAAAGTATGTGTCAAATGAAAAATATATTCAGACAAAGTTTTTAACTTCGAGGGGAACATAAAATGGAACTATTGATTTGATGTTGCCAAAGTTAGGGCAAGATTAATTTGAATTTTTTTAATGACATTCCCCACTTTTCATTACATATTCTTGTAGCACACCTCAAGAGCTTTTCAAAACACTATAATAAAATATTTTTTCATGAAGTACTTTTCAAGTCGTTAGGTAAAATGTTAATGTTAACAATATTGTAACTTTCAAGCCTTGTAATAAAAATGGTGTGGGTTCTATTTAAAAATTTTAAAGTTACTTTTTATCTTAATTTTGACATGGCCACCTAAAGTCAAACCAATAGTTCCATCTTATGTCCCCCTCAAAATCATAAAACTTTTGTCTGTGAACATATTTTTCACTTGACATATACTTTCAGAGATAATAGCTTGTAACACTATGTGGGCCATTCTGTGTGTGTTTATAGAATATTGCTTTCATTCTTTCTTCAGTTTTCATGTATCTGCATTGGTAGATGTATTGTATAAGTAAAGTTTTAAATAAACAAACCATTAAATTAGTAAAATGGATTACACGAATTAATATGAATCTGAAGGCATTGTAGCTTCAAAAACAGTTTGATAATTTATTAAAGTTCATACATCAGCGTGATACAATCTGCTTCAAGCAGAACAATGAAACACTATTAGAAGTATACAAGAATTAAATATACATGTTGCAATGTGTTATTCCCAGTTCCTTTCTATGTTAGATATTCAGCGGTGTAATGTATTTTTTCTATCAGATTTCTCGATTAATGGGAATGGATTTCAAAGGAAAAGGTTAACAATTTCACACTCCTAACACAGAACGGATTTCCTTGTGTAGAAAAAAAACAATTCATATAATTTAAGTTGAACAAATCATACATACATCTTTTGCTTATAAAAATAGCAAACAGTCCTTGTCGAAACGGGACAGACGCAACAGGTTACGAATCTGTTTCACTTCAATCTCGAAACATTCTTTCTATTAAAATAGAAGACTACACCACGGGAGATGCTTACTCACGAAAGATGGTCGCTCTCTCAACATTCGTACCTTTCAATTTACACACTAGTAAGTTTCTTAAGCAGTTTCATCAAGAAAGTGTATATATGGCATAAGGTAGTTTTTTTTAATGATACTTCAGTCCAGTTTTATTTTGCTGTCCATACTTAAGTATGTAAACAGTGACTTCTAATATTAATTTTGTAAATATCGCAAGATTCTTTCTCATAAATTAATCACTGCATACTGATCTACTATGTTCAATCGAGAGCAAACGTGTTATCTTGTTCTATCGTAGCGAGATTGAAGTGACTTGCACCGTCTTTAGCGATTGACCGATTAGCCAATTGCTATAGAAAATGTATCTGGATTTACAAGAAGACGCATTTGATGCCAGTGCAGTTCTATTTGCTACATTTGAACTTGACAGCATTTTGCTCACAATTTTATCCGTTTCAGAATTGGCAGTTTTTATCTATACTTTGTGTTAGGAAAGTATGAAAATAAAACAAAAATAAAAAACACATGATGTTACTTTTTATATGCCTTAAAGTGGGTTAGCGTGATTGTGTTTAATATACAGCACGCCTTACACAATTCCATTTCTTATGTATATATGTACATACACACGCACGCACGCACGCACATCTATACAAACGAGCGAATCTGAAAATGTAATGAATTCTTTTTCGGTTGTTTCATATTACGTTGTATCAGCTTCAATCAGCTGGGTTCTATGAATTCGTATCACAAGTCATTTCCGCAGTTTCACCATTATTTTATTCTGTTTCTAATTTACGTGATAATATATCACCATTATTACATAAGAATTTTATAAAATCTAAACATTCAAGTGCACATCGCATACACAATCACACACATGTTGCGCATTCCGTATTACAACGTATTTAAGCGACCCGTCTTTAAGGCTATACATGTAACATGCAAATTCACAGAAGTTGAGTGCCAGCATAAAGCATCGAACTAAATATTGCATGTAAATTATATTTTTCTTAAAGAAAGAATCTTCGACTTCTATGAAGATGTACGAGTGCGCGATACGACCACGGAGCACCCTATAATAGGCCTTACTCTCTGTAAAGACCATCCCCAATGTGTTAAATAAACTAAAGATCTTCATCATCCTCTGGTAATGCTGTTTCTTGAGCTTCTTTAAGATCTTTCTCAATTTGTTGCTGCCATTGTGGATCCATAGTGACTTCCGGTGGCAGCAGCGCAGGCATAGCGACGAATTCGAGGTTTGGATCTCCAATCAACTTGCGTGCTAACCATAGGAAAGGTTTCTCAAAGTTGTAATTACTTTTTGCACTGATATCGTAGTACTGTAAACATAAAAATTATATATTTTATACACCTTGTAAAATTATACAGTGTCTCAGTATTTAACGGACGAACCTACAGGAGCATTTTACAAATGGAAATTTAAAAAAAATGTTATATGAAATTTTGCCAGAAATGCTTTATTGCATAAATAAATATTGCATAAACAAAATATGAAACAACGGATTTACCATTACGTATAATAGGAAAGTGTATATTTCGTTGAAAAGTGCTTATCTCGTGTATATTCACATCATATATATTATGTTTAAGGGAGTATATATACCTAGACGCGTTAAAAAAACAAAATCTATAGGAGCATTTATACTGGCTGCAACTGCATGCCATAATCTGTAAGAATTGATTAATTACAGTCGAGTATCCCTCTCTTACAGTCGACTGAGAATACTAGATTGGTCAACTTTTCAAATTACGGCATACAATTATGGTCAGTATAAATGCTTCTTAACTTTACAAATTTTTGTAGAAAAAAATAGAGAAGCTGTTTGTCCCATTATAAAGATCATACTTTTTTCTATTTCACATTTAAAATTTATTAAAAATAATTAAAAAATGTGTTGTTATTTAATATCTTTTAAATCATGTTTTGAAAAAAAATGGATTTTGTGGTAACCACTGCTGTTTCTATAAAAAAACTAAAAGCAGTGCGAGTTTCAAAAGTTGAAACGTAGATCTATCATCTTCACATAGCTATTTATTAAAATAAAATATTGTGTATATTTGACCAACTGCCATTTTACTCAAATATAATATTTTAGAAACTGATTACGTCAAGAAAAAAGTACACCTATGTTTCAACTTGTAGCATTGTTCTCGGACAATTTTTTTTATGGGAGCAGCAGTGATCATCACAAATCTCATTTTTTCAAAATATGACTTGGAAAAAAGTGAATAGCGATTTTAATAAAATTCAAACATAAAATATAAAAAATATAATCTTTATAATGGAACAAATATGACTTCTCTATCTCATTTCGTTTTTTTCGCAAAAAATTCATAAAATTTTGTTTTTATGCACCTAAGTGCTCCTTTAAAGATAGTGAATATGAGTGCACACACAAGATAAATACATTCGAGCTTTCTATAGACAAAATATACATTTTCATATTCTGCACAATAGAAACTCCATTGTTTCATGTTCCATTTTAATATTTGCTTATAACTTTATAACAAAATATTTCTAGCCAAATTATATATTCCATTTTTTTTCTTATTTCCACTTATAAACTATGCTCCTGTAGTTTATCTGTTAAATCCTAAGACACTCTGTACAGACAATACTGATAATAAGATTTTCAGATTAAAGGGACAGTACAATGTCTCCACTTTACCATCAGACCTCTGAATCATCATTGAAAGATTAATAAAAGGATGAACAAAATTTGAAGGATGTACAAGAAAAATAGATATACAGTTAATAATGTTATTTGCATATAAAAATACCTGGAGATTCTTCTTCCTATGAAACACAATGCTCTTAGCCTTGACTTTTCTATCCTTGATGTCGACTTTATTACCACAAAGGACAATAGGTATGTTTTCACAGACACGGACCAGATCCCTATGCCAGTTGGGCACGTTTTTGTACGTTACTCTGGATGTAACATCAAACATGATAACGGCACACTGACCCTGAATGTAGTAGCCATCGCGAAGGCCACCAAATTTCTCTTGACCAGCCGTATCCCAGACGTTGAAGCGGATCGGTCCACGATTAGTGTGAAAGATCAACGGATGGACCTCGACTCCTAGAGTGGCAACATACTTCTTCTCAAATTCACCGGTCAAGTGCCGTTTGACGAAGGTGGTCTTGCCAGTACCACCGTCGCCGACCAGTACGCACTTGAAGGTGGGCATATCAGGTTCATTTGCCATTTTGACGATTAATTTTTCGTGAGCTCACTCAAAATCAGGAACACACAACTCTGCAATGCGAGAAATTACATTAGATAGACCTAGGATATATTTAGTGTTTGCAATTTTCCTTGTTTATTTGATAGACAAGAATAAACTATAAACTGATGCTTGTAGCGTGTTAGTGTGAAAATGGTATGCACCCCTAGTCTGATGATCGTGTTTAAACGAGTTCAAAAAAAAACACAGAGCAGTATGCACGCACGCGGCAAGGACTTTATGCGCAAAGACTCTGAGCAGCCGCTCTTCTACAGGAACGCTTGGGAGATCGATTGGGATGCGGTCCGAGAGGGAGAGGGAGGGAGAAAGGAGAGAAAGAGAAAAAGAGAGAGACGTGGTCGGGAAAACTAGCGATCTCGCGTTTGAAAAGAGACCGTGGAAAATCCGGTTATGCGACTATCAGGGATTTGCGCAATAACGATGCTCAACGAATATTTAGCGCCGCGGTGATCGACGACAAAAAGGATCGGAGCAAAAGACTTTTTTGGATCGTAGACCCGGTCTAATCGAAGGGAGACCGAGGGGGTTGCCTTACCGCGCCGGCGGGGAATGGCGCCCGGCGTATTGTGGTATTGTTCAGAATTTTCCCTCGCGATTTCTTTCAACGACCGGCTTGCCGCGACGCAACTTTTTCGCGCGTGACAATCGCAACAACATCGCTTCGTTGTTGTTACTTGCGTAGAGGTCAGACGGCGCGAAATTTCCCGGGTACGCGATGATGTACGTGAAAATGAACGGTAACACTTACCGTGCTGCACAGTCGTTATGGCTCACTATGGCGCTCCTCTGGGCGGTCAACTCAACGTATATCGTGCCTACCGTGGTCGAATGGAGGCGATGTCACTTTACTGATTCGTCAAATTGAAGGGGCGTAAAGACGATCGTTTGAAGGGTCGAGATCGACGGGAAAAAATCAAATTCGATTTTTCGCGTGTAGAAATTCTTCCAGCAGCACGTGATAACTTTGACGAACTGCACGATTTCACTCTCGACTGACGCAGGTTTGGTCAGCTCGCCGCTCGGGCTGCAGGAAACGCGGAAACGCGCGTAGTGACATCTGTATTTAGCGCAACCATGCGGTTGCTTCGAGACCTCCTCTAATGCACGCAAAATATCAGAAACTCTCTAATAATTGAGCCTAAACTACAGTAATATGCTCTTTGTTTCCTATTTCAAACTCTTTATCATTTCTTATTTCTTGCCTTTTTGTCTCTTACTTAATTTTTTATTTTTCTGTGACCGAGAAGTTGAACTTCCAGAAGTCAAGAAACACCGAAATGCGATTGTCGATAAAATGGACGCAACGAAGGAAAATGCATGAGATAAAAAACACGGAATAGAAAGCAAAGAACCATTATAGATTAGGCTTTAGAGTGTGGATATGAAACAGTCACTTAATTTCGACACCGTCGAGATATTATTAAAGACTGTTAATAACCTTGAGTAAATTTTTAATTAATTGTTACTACTTAAAAGAGCGTTGATATTATCGACAATTGATATAAATTTGTGGTACCGAGAAGATAGCCGCTTTGCCGGCTTGAACTTGTCCATCGACGAGACTACTATTTAAAGATCATCGGCCCTGGAGCAAATTTTCGTGACTATTAGGAGCTCCGCACAATAGAAGGAACAGGGAACAGACTAGGAATTTCAACCTATCAGAAATCATATATTATGATAGGTTGAAATTCTTATTCTCTATTCTCTGGTCCGGTTTCTTTTATTGTGCGAAGCCCCTAAGAATTTCGACCTATCAGAAACTGTGTATTCCACAATATATGATTTTTGATAGGTTAAAATTCTTATTCTCTGTTCCCTATTCCTTTGATTGTGCGGAGCCCTTTAAGGTTGCTGCACACAAAATTCCGCAACAGTGGCCTAGTTTCCACCGAGAGTTTGAACCTCTGAGTACAAGCACTAGTCAAAGGCTCCAACTGCCACCTTACCTGTGATCCAAGTGCTCTCTGGGTTAATTTGGAGCATGCGACGCGGACAAACCTTTTATTAATCTAGTGACTTTACCCTTAACTTATGCACTAGTTCACAGAACTAGTTCAGAATTCTTCGAAAAAGAACAGACCTCGTGATAGCACGTATCTGCGACTGCAGTGTACAGAGTACCAGTACCAGAATACATCATTTCGGTATCCTTCATACGTGTCCGTCCGTCGCTGTGTCCTGTGTCTCCTCATCTGTGTTGTTGCTCCTAAAAGTTGCGCTACGGCATACATTACAAAATCTATATGGAGATTGTCCGCCGTCACCGTGTCTCACTCGTGGGATCTCCTCTTGTTCGTGCATACGCGTAAAGGGAGCCCGGCCGGTCGGCGCGCCTCGTTTAGGAACTGATAACCATGTATCGAAGACAGCAGTTTCTCTGCTTGCTGGCGCTTGGCCTTTTCGTGCTGTCGGCCCTCGCCGATGAGCACACGCACATCGTGAGTATATCCTGACGACGCCTACCTGTGACACGTCGTTCCAGCAAGATATACGCGCGGAAGCCATGAAATGTCAGGTTGCCTGCGACCTGCTGTTGGCATTTAAAGGCCAAACATCGCGCCAAAGACACGTCTTTTTATGTTAACTTTCTTTCTTCTCCCTCTCTCGTTCTGTATTCATATTGAATTACCACATCGAAACGAATATCTGCTTTACTTAAATTTGTATCAGAATGAAACTGTTTATCATTGTACCTAAATACTATTAATAAATTCCATCTCAATTCCAATTTAACTGTATTCCTATTGTATTACGTTGCATTCAATCCTTTTCTCTTATCATATTCTATATTTCAATGAATTCTATTTTATAACGTAGTTCTATTTCTCAATTGTATTCTATTCTTCAACTCTTGCTATAACCACATGCTATAATTGATGCTTTAGAAATATGACATAAGTCAGCTAGAAATAGAGAGTATCTTAAAGATGAATTTATTATTTGTTTTCAGTATGAGGATGGCGATGAGGTTGTGCTATGGATGAGCACTGTAGGACCGTACCACAATCGTCAAGAGACGTATTCTTATTATTCCCTACCCTTTTGTACAGGTACCAAGAATGTTATCAATCATTATCACGAGACCTTGGCAGAGGCTCTACAGGGCATTGAGTTGAAGTTCAGTGGTTTAGAAATTGAATTCAAAGGTATGCACATGTGACTAATATATATTTACAATTGACATTGATTCAAACATTTTTTCATTTATGTTGCTTGAAGTTCCCTAAAATTATTTTACTTAAAATGAGATAAGTACATTCATTGGTTGGAGAAAAAGAAAAATGTTCTATATGTAAAAAGTATAAGCAACATAAACAGACCTATAATTGTTCAACCAGTATTATTCAATCAAAAGTCTGTTTTTTATTTTTACATTAAACTACAATTTTGGATTAAAATTTTTGTTTTTTTCAAATATTGAACATATACCTATTTTATTTTGAGTTTCCATAGTATATATTAGCTATAGAAAATGGATCCTAAAAATGTACAAAGTATAAAAGCATGAAGATCTAATGTGATATTTCAGAGGATATCTCGAAAACAGAATACTGCCAGATAAGTTTAAACGAAGAAAGTCAGAAAGCGTTTGCATATGCAATAAAGAATCAGTATTGGTATCAGATGTATATTGATGATTTACCAATATGGGGTAAGTGTTTTTTATTGCGTGTATCAAGGCAGTACAGACAACTGAACCATTATGTTACAGGTGTTGTAGGAGAGATGGAAAACAATGACGGAGTTTCAGTATCAGATTCCTATTATATTTGGACACATAAAAAGTTTGATATCGGATACAACGGTAAACAAATAGTGGATGTTAATCTGACCAGTGACAACAGAGTGAAACTGGTGCAAGGCGCGCGTATACCTTTTAGCTATGAAATTAATTGGAAGAAGAGTAATATCAAATTTGAGGATAGATTCGACAAGTATCTGGATCCTAACTTTTTTCAACATAGAGTAAGTTTGTATAACATTTTTAGACATAACTAATACAAAACGTGGAGAGTATTAGTGTATGCACTGTATAAACTACAATTCTTTTTTTTTTTTTTTTTTCAGATACACTGGTTTAGCATTTTCAACAGTTTCATGATGGTAATTTTCCTCGTCGGGCTTGTTTCAATGATTTTGATGCGTACTTTAAGAAAGGATTATGCTAGATATAGTAGAGATGAAGAGATGGACGACATGGAGAGAGATTTGGGCGATGAGTATGGTTGGAAACAGGTGCATGGAGACGTGTTTAGGCCTGCGAGTCATGCTATGTTCTTTTCAGCTCTCATAGGTGCAGGCTATCAGGTACAAACATTATCTCTATTGCTGGTATTTCATTATCTCTATTGCTGGTAAGTCTGTTCTTATTTTAAGAGCGCTTCAAGTAATGTCTTAAGATGCAGCTCCGTGATTGGCTTATGACATCTTAACACTGTACTTGAGAGGTTTTAAGACTCCTGAGTAGTCGTTTTGAACCGTAACTGCAGAAGCATGAAATAACACATTTTTTATTATGTGGCATTTGTAAATAAAAACAATTTGGGTAAAATAAAAGTATGGTAGTGTCGCTATGCTTAGCTTAGCGCCGGGACACTATCGTATCTCCAGGTAATGAGATCGCTTTAAAACATTAATTATTAGATATATTGTAAAAGTGAACTACTCGGGAGCCTTAAATATAAAAATTGACTATTCTACTGGTCTATATTTTAATTTCTTAAAATAAAAGAATAGAAAAAAATTGTGTTTCCATTTTTGTATGTAAAGGTCACAGTGGTGGTGTTGAGCGTAATTATCTTTGCTATCTTGGGTGAGCTTTATACAGAACGTGGTTCAATGTTGTCAACGGCAATATTTGTATATGCTGCCACATCGCCCATTAACGGTTATGCGGGTGGTGGACTGTACGCACGGATGGGTGGACGTGTGTGGATCAAACAAATGATCTTCAGCGCTTTTATGTTACCACTCATGGTCTGTGGTACTGCTTTCTTTATCAATTTCATCGCCATGTATTACCACGCCAGCAGAGCAATACCTTTCGGATCCATGGTTGGTGACTGCATATTCAAATTCGATCGTTCCCGCTGCTTTTACATTCCATGTCAATTCATGTCAATTGTATATGCGCAGGTTGCGGTGACATGTATCTGCATATTTGTGATATTACCGCTGACACTGGTAGGTACCATTCTAGGCCGTAATCTCGCTGGGACACCTGACGCTCCGTGCCGTGTAAATGCAGTGCCTCGACCAATACCCGAGAAGAAATGGTTTATGGAACCGCTAATAATCATAATGCTCGGTGGAATTCTACCCTTCGGTTCGATTTTTATTGAGATGTATGAAATAGTTTTATTGATATCTTAACGCCCATTTCCAATTTAGATTAATTTTAATTTTGACTTATTCTTTATCTTTTTTTGTAATTCTTAAAATTAGGAAAAAATGAAAAATAAGTTGAGCCGAGATTAAAATTAATCTACTTTAATGGAAATAGGCATTAGTTATTCATTTAATAGTTCGTCACATTTATCGATTATTATCATTATTTTCAGGTATTTCGTCTTTACCTCATTTTGGGCATATAAGATCTACTATGTCTATGGTTTTATGTTACTAGTATTCGTAATTCTCATGATAGTGACAGTATGCGTCACTATCGTATGTACATATTTCTTGCTGAATGCCGAAGACTATCGATGGTAAGTTTACATCGTATATACCTTGCCTTTTTCTTTCATATAACGCTAATGTTATCTGCAGGCAGTGGACGAGCTTTCTTGCAGCGGCTTCGACGGCCGGTTATGTTTACATTTATTCCTTTTACTACTTCTTCTTCAAAACTAAGTGAGTAGATATACATCTTACGGCAATATTTGCAATTCGATCGCAAATATTTGAAGTCCCATCTACATCCTTTCATGTTTTCACAGAATGTACGGTCTCTTTCAAACGGCGTTTTATTTTGGCTATATGGCATTGTTCAGCTTGGCCCTGGGTATTATGTGCGGCACAGTCGGATATATGGGCACCAATGCGTTCGTGCGAAAGATATACTCCACAGTCAAAATAGACTAAAATCACTGATTGAAATATTTGTATCATGGATCGTACAATGTAATTCCTAAAATTGTGCGCGTGCGACGCTCATTGCTCTTGAGATGAAGTATGTACTTTATTTGTCTAAAGCAGCTGTGTCACGTCACATCACGAGAGTGCAATACTTGTTTTTCAGCTTTACTTATCATCAACTCAATTAACATCTGCTTCAAAAGTGGCACACGACGTGTGTCCTTTTGTGGATATACGATTATTCTTCCAACTAAACTTACGTCGTCGCGTGTTAAACATTCAAACGACGTCTTCATCTCGTATGCGTTCGTTTCTTTTTCTTTTCACTTATTTTACTATTCGCTATAAGTAAAGATACGCTGTAAACGGATCCTACTGTACTGGTATGCGTGCGCGTGTTGCAAATGCAGTCACCTGTCGATAATAAAATAATTGTAAATGTTAGAGTCGAGCTAATCTTGTATGAGTCCGAGCTATTATAAGAACAAAACTTCCGCAATCGTACAATTGAATGTTGTTTTCATATATTTTTTATGATCCATGCCGCTAAAGAGAATTGTAATAATATATATATATTTATTTAATAATGTAATATATATATATATATATGCATATATACAGTGTTCCATTTTAAATGATGACCTTAAATATATCTTGATCAATGCATTTTAGGAAAAACTGTCAGACAAAAGTTTTATGACTTTGAAGAGAACATAAGATGGTACCATTGGTTTGATATTGAATGGCAAAGCCAAGGCTAAGGCAAGGTCCCTTCGAATTTTTAAAATAGAACTTTTTATTTTTCATTCCATATTCTCGTAGCTTACGTTATAACAATGATAACATTTGTAAAGCTCAAGATCATTGGAAGTTCTTCCTCTTGTTTTCATGTAAAATGAAAATTCAATGAAAAAATGTTTTATTATAGTGTTTTGAAAGCTCTTAAGATAAGCTATGGGAATATAAACTAAAAAATGGAAGATTCTATTCTAAAAATTCAAAGATCTTGCTCTAATCTTGACAACATCCACCAAGATCAAATCAATGATATTTTATATTCTATCCGAAGTCACAAAATTTTTATCTAAAATGGTTTTCCCTAAAACGCAATGTTCAAAAGATACTTTAGATCATTATTTCAAATCCTGTGCATATACATGCATGTGTATATAGATATAGAGTGTCCCGAATAAAAATGGCCAAATTTCGAAAGCGTATAGAGGATCGATAAAGGTTTGGCCATTTAAGTTTGGGACACCCTGTATATATAATTGCGGTTACGATCGTTCTTTATCGCATATGTATATATACATATGTCTCACTATCTCGCTTGCGAACGGCTCGGAAAATTAATTGAACCATCGTACAAAAATCAAGAAGTCTTGATTTGCTTTCTATTTGTTCCATTTAACGTTCACAACGCTTACGAACATCATTTTATCCTCGTTATTAAATATTAAACAAGAATGAATTGATACAGGGAAGCGTTTCGAATGTTAAGTAGAACGCACCCTTAGAGATTTCAGCTCGGGTAATGAAACATAAAAAAATTATGATGTAAAATAATTTTTTCTGATTAGAAACCCTGGTTATGGTCCATTTGATACTGCAAATGTTTTGAAGCATTGGCCAATTATTGAAATTATTTCTTCCGATTGGTCAGGTACTTCGAATCATTTGTAACGCCAGTGGACCATACCTTCTATAGTATAACAGCAATTTAGTTTCCACCAAAGTCCTCAATTCGAATTTATTTTGATGCAGTACGCTGTTTCTATTGGAAGTAGCGACTTTGCGAAGCGGGAATTAAATGAATGCAATCAAACGCATTTCCATCGATTTATCATAAATTTTGGTTCGCCACATTGGATGTGAATTAATGCTTCGGTGGAAACTAGACTAGTGATGTGCCTAGAGTCACGTGATTATGATATTCGCTGATTGTGGCTAGAGTGAATTCTGTTGAACGATAAAGATAGAATGACACAATACCATTGACTATTGTGTCCTTTTTATGAATTTATCATTAGACGTAAAGTAAAGATAGAATAGTATTTTCATTCCAGTCAATCAGTAATATCACGACTGTGACTCCTAACTCATCTCTGTTATACTGTGTACGATCTCTATTTTTGACTCTTGAAAACACGAAGTAGAATATTGCATTACTGAAAGTTGTAATAAACTGCGGTAAATTAGACATAAAAACATTTAATTGCATTATAATTTATTGAACTCATAGTTTTGCAAGACTTTTCCATTGATGTAAACTGTATATCTGTAACTATGGCCAGTATTCATAGGCCGATATTTACGGGCTTTCTACAATAAGTTACCTAAGCTTTAAGTCTTAAGCCATAAGAAATTGATCAATCATAGTCAATTATTCTTCTTACATTCAACTGTGATTGGTCAATTTCTTACGGCTTAAGAAATTACTTAAAGCTTAGATAATTGTTTACTGTAGAAAGCCTATTATAATTAGTTCTTATATTTAAAAAGGTCTTGAGTACAGTCTTGAGATATCATAATCATATATTTTTCCCAATAAATTGTTTATAGATTTTAATATGTTTATCAGCATTATTATGATCTTTCTAAGATGTCTATAAGCATCAAATTATTAAATTGCTAAACAATTTAATTTGTGATATTACAGTAGTTTTGTCGATACAGCGTTTCAAGACTGAAAAATCAATTCGGTGAGTAGTTTGGCAAAATTTTATACGTAGTATATAAATTCATACCAAATTACTTATAAGTATCTAAAATATAGTTTCGACCGTTATGGACTCTATTTCTTATTGGTTGTGTACTTAAATATAAGAATCCACTATAAATATCGGCCATAGTGTTCTTATTTCAAAATTAATGTCTCAAAATATTAATGCAGCTCTATGGGCGATATTCATAATTAGATCTTATATTTAAAACTATCTTAAGTACAGTTTTAAGATGTCATGAACCAATCAGAGAGCAATATTAGCATATGAAGACATTACTTAAAACAGTTTTAAAATGAGAACTAACTATGAATATCGCTCTACACAGCTGTAATTGATTTGACATCTTAAGACTGTATTTAAGACGGTCTCAAATATAAGAATCTAATATGAATACGACTGCAACATAGGTTGTTTTCTGATGGTCAATTTATCGATTTCACGTTTCGTTATCAACGGAAAGCTTTTAAGCTAAATAATGCGGAGTAAGAAATAAGAATCGTGACGTACAAAGTGTCGATGAAATCTGCGGCACGACAACTGCATAGATCATGATCTCATCCGCATTCTCTTTTTTTTTTTTAATGTTGAATTAGCACCTTTTTAGGATTCGCGAATGAGTCCATGTTCACGACTCTCTTCCGCGGGTGGACAATCGCCCGCATCACACAAATTGATCACCATTGAGAGAGAAACGAGAAGTTAATTTCTCAAACATAATTAATGATAGGTATTCGAGTAAGGGATGTAACGATGAGAGTATTACGTTTCAATGATTTTACCAAGAAACTAATGTTGGTGGGAATCGAAAATAAAACGATTTGTTGTTAGATGTAGTGATTCTGGAAAAAATATAAAATTTCTACATATACAACAAAAGTATTTGCTTCTTCTTTTTTACCTTTTAATACTTCTTCTTTTTTTCTCCTTTCATATTTGCTGTTTTTTTACATTATTTGTACGAATCACGCGAATGAATAAAATATTGCGGTTGGTAACGTCACAGAACAGTTGGAGTATTAAGGATATCAATCATGAAACTTTAGCCTTAGGATGAAAAGTGAAAGATAAAAATTTTTGATTATTGAAGTTAATGGAGAAATTTTTCACTTTTCGTCCTAAGAAAAAAGTTTCTCTCTCTCATGGTTGACATCCTTAATAAACAAACACACGCGACAAAACACAGTATTTGAAGTGCGAGGGACTCCTCTCTCAATTGACTACGGTAGTGACAGTGTGGCACAAGAGAGCGCCAACAGGCACACAGCGAGCTGTCGCGCAACTTCATGACTTCACGTGTCATATGGCGACGGCGTACACGTCGGCGAACGTCGCAGCGATTGCGGAACGTCATTCAGCGCCGCTGGACACGTCGAGATACGCTTCCGTAGATAAGTACGCATACAAGTGTTGTGTGTCGTGAGCTCTCAACTCGTCTCGTATTTCTTCTGCCCGCTTCTATCGCACTCTTGTCGAGGGGACGTGCGAGAACGATGGCGCCGAAGCAGCGGATGCGTATCGCGAACGAGAAGGCGACGAAAAACATCACCCTACGTGGAAACGTCCCCAAGTCGTCGGTGAGTTTCCCTTCGCCGAATCGCCCGGCTGTGATTCCTCCGGGCTTCTGAAACGCGGTCCGGCGGTTCTCGAGATTCGGCCGGTGAAGTTGCGCGGATTGCTTCCTCGAAGTCCGGATTTTCCGAGAGAAAATTTGTACCTAGGAAGCGCATTTGCACGACGTTTGAGAAAATGACATATGGATGAGGATTGAAAATTGATGTACCGCGTATGAGATAAATCGCGACGATTCAATTCGCCTGTTTGCGAGGATATTCTATGTAATTCTATGTAATTGTCAATCTGAGGTTATAGATGTTTATTTCTGACAGATCGCTGTCAAATTAAGTTGGACATTCGTTTTCTCGTTTGCAAATCAGCAAAATTGTTTGTTCCACTGGTTATCTAACGTTTCACAACGAACGGTTTACCTCATGACGAAAGAAACTTGCATCTGTCAACAGACAGTATCTGCCATATGTGAAACTAAGAATGTAAAATTCTTGGTGAAACTCTTATGTTAAGATGTATGAAACATTAACATTGATAACATCTTTGTTGCAATGTTTACTAAATGCTGAAAAATATCTTACATTTATCATCCAAGTCATATGTTCCATTTGTTTACTCCACATATATGATTGACGTACTTGATACTTAAATTTCATGTATGTGTTTCATTTGTAATCTGACATCGATATCTGTATAACTAAGCAGAAACTTTTGTTGCATTAGAAATTGCAAGAGGAGGGATCTCCAGTTGGACCTTGGCTCTTAGCTCTGTTTCTCTTTGTTGTTTGTGGATCTGGTAAGTACTTGTGATAATCTAGGTACAATAATTTGAAATAAAACTTTTCTATTTCCTCTCTTGTCCTTAGGTTTGTGTTTTACTGCTGCATTAGAACTTTCCTCCTCGCATTTGCCAAATATCAGACATACCTATTTGATTTTAAATATACAAACTATACATTAGTTTTTGAATATAAAAAAAAACAAACCTGTTGACATCAGGGAACAAAAATTCTATTCTTAGTATTTTTTT